GCTCGGGCTTCGCACACACGCGTGCGTCCTGGCCCGCCGGTGCCTCTGCACTTACACCTGGGGGACAACCCTCGCGGGCGCGCACCTCCTAAGAGCCTCTTGGGTGGGGACCGCGCAGCCTCAGTCGTGCCGAGGAGAAGGGCTTGGACCCAGACGGCCCTGCACGTCCCCCTTTTACAAATGGGGAAACTGAGGCCAGAGGGGGAAAACGAAAGGTTGGCAGGGTCGGGAGGAGCGGAGAGGCTTAGTGCGCATTTGGTCTTGCCCCTCCTGTGGGTGTGGCCCCGTTGGGTGGTCACGGCCTTCCGGTGTGAGTGAACTGGGGGTATCCAGCGGGGGTCCCTACTGCGAGTCCCATTTAGACACCACCCCTTCCCCAGAGAAAGGCAGTGATGAGCTCCTTCCTGACTCCTGGCGGCCCCACCCCGCCCCCGGGGCCTGGACCCCAGATCCAGGCAGAAGGAAAGGTTTGCCTTAGATGCTGAGCGTGCCTACAGGGGTGAGCCAGGAGGGATGTTTGAAAGGCATGGAGGGACGTCCTTTCCTCCTGAGCTCCCGGTCTTGTCTCAGGGGCTGCCTCAAGTGGCCTCGGAAGGTGAAGGCAGTGACTGACCCAGGTGTCTGTCAGAGCTGAGAACCTGGTGTCCCCCAGACTCTGTGTCTCACTCACACAGGCCCCCACTTTCCTTCTGCATCCACAGCAGGGAGAAATCCCAGGATAATGTCCCCCTCCCCTTCACCCAGCACCAGCCTCCCTCCCTGCACCTGCTGGCATCTTGCTCCTGGCTCAGGTGCGCCCTGGGCACAATGGACTATTGTGTGCCCCTGATCTCGTCACTGGGGGGAAGTTCATGCTCAGATCAGCTGGCCCTCTGTAAAGAGGCTGTCCAACTGTCTCCCAGGACTACAACCCGGGTTTGGGGCCCCAGGGACCTGAAATCCAGGCCATAAGGGCCACAGCTTCTTTAGTCCACTCAGGTGGTGAGAGGTCCAGGCCTCTGGCAGGAGGCGGTGTACGGAGTAGTCCTTCTTTGGTGTGACCCAGGGCAAGCTCTTTACACCTCTGAGCTTCCCTATCTGGAAATTTGGCACAGCCTGGACCTCAGGAGTGGCCTGTACTCTGCAGAGGGGTAGCCAGTATGACTGGTCCAGGTCAGAGAAGGCTCCTGCTTCCCTGGCCCCATTGGGTTCCCTCACCCCAGCCTGTCTCCGTCTCCAAGGGCTGGTCTTTGTGAAGGAGCAAAAGATGCAGAAGGAAATCTGCCCCTGACCCTCATGTGTACGATTGCCCCGTGGCCATAGGCAGGTTCTTGGTCCTCAGTTTCTTCTCCTGTGACCAGGTGATGAGTCTAAGGGATGTTAATGGTGGGTCTTCAGGCTGGGTGACATGCTGCTGGGGAAGGTGCCTCCTGGAACCCCTTCTAGATGAGCTCTGCAAATGGTCAGCCCCCCTATTCCCCCAGGAGGTGTTTAGCACCTCTCTGTGCTGATTCCCTCCACCCCCCAGCTCCTTACCTCACAGGGCAGGTATGGGGCACATGCTGACTGGCTGTAGCCTTGGATGCCTGGATAAGCAGGGGGCAGCCTGGGGCCTGGCAAACAAATCCAGGATGTGAGTGTGAACTGGGAGCCAGGTGGGGCCAGGCTGCCTAGGGAGAGGAAGCTCTGCACTGCCTTCCTGCCCACTTGGTGCTGCTCCTGCTCCCGGAACACTGTCCCCACCCCTCTGCTGGCTCCCAGGGAGTGGTGGCTGTGCTATTTGGAGCCCTGCTACGGGCCAAGTGTGTGTGTGCTTGGGGGGAGGGGATAAGATAAGGTAAAAAGTTGAACTGATAAAGGGTATTAAGAGACCCCTGAGTTGGCCAGCCACTCAGCCAGAAGGCTTCCCCAATACCTGTACCCCTCCCTTCAGCAGTGAGAGCTGACATCAGCTGGCAAACCTGTTTCCCCAGTTGTGGGTCTTGGTCCGCCCTGGGGAGCAACCCCCTTTCGCTCTTCCTTTCCCCTCACAGATCCCTGGTTCAGACCCTCCAACCGCCTACTTCTGTGGGCCCTGCTCAGCTGGGGGCCACTAGTGGGGGAAGGGGCTGTGGGTTGTTCCTGAAGGAGGAAGGAGGGCCACATCATTCAGTCTGAGTCCCTCAGGGCTCTAGTGGGGAAACCAAGGCAGGGTCATACCAAGGTCATCAAACAAATGTTGGGGCAGAGTCCCACAGAGCTCGAGCCCGGCCTCCATCCTGTGTTCCTTTACCCAGGAAAGGTCTGGTCCTATGGGCAGGAAGCCTCAGGTGGGTCTGCACAAACTGTTTTCTCCACGTGGAAGCTTCCTCCCCTTTCCCCAAACCAAGCTGGCTTCAGCCTAGGGTGTCCCCATTTTAACCCTCATTAGACTTCCATGGCTCTGCAGCACCTTACTTTTTTAAAAAAATATGTTTTTATTGATTTTAGAGAGAAAAGCAGGGAGAGGGAGAGACAGAAACATCAATGAGAAACATTGATCAGCTGCCTCCTGCATGCCCCCTACTGGGGATCGAACCCACAACCCAGGCATGTGCCCTGGCAGGAACTGAACTGATGACCTCTTGGTGCATGGGTCGACGCTCAACCACTGAGCCACACCGGCGTAGCACCTCACGTTTAGTAGGTGCTCCCTGGGTCCAGCTGAATGGCTGGACAGAGAGAACCAGAGCAGTGACCAATCAGGAAGGCCACCCAGACCAGGCTGAGCTTGGGCCTTGAGGGCGGCGGGCCCGAAACAGCAGGAGCAAGAACATGACAGGGGAGTGAAAGGGAGGCCTGGGGATGGGTAGGGCCATATCTAGAGGACTCCACCCACCAGGGCTTCCCCAGGGAGGGCATGGGAAAGGGGTGAGAAGGTAAGGGGACTAGGGACAGCACCCTAGAGGCTGGCAGTAGGGCAGCATGTAAAAATTATGCAAAATAACATGCAAATGAGTGGCCTCTTTTCTGCTGGAGCAGTGGTGTCCCTCAGAAGCCCCCCCCCAATGAAAAGGAGTACTTGGGGGGCAACACCAGAGCTGAGGGGCAGTCAAGGTCACAAAGGTCAGGATAGGAGGTACATTCAGGTTACAGGTGGGGAGCCCAGGTTGAACTCTCCAATTTTGCCATTGAGGACTCTGTTCCAGGGAGGTGAGGTCAGAGCTGGAGTTGACCTTGCTCTGCCCACACCTCCCTGGTTCCTCACCCCTGACTGGGGACCTCATGGAAACCTGGTCAAGCCCTCTGCTCCCTCTAGGGACTTAGCTGGGTCATATGTTTTCCTGTGCCTCAGTTTACCCTCTTGTAATGGGAAAAAGAAAGGTAAAGTAGCTCCGTACCTCACAGGGGCAACCAGGGCTTCTTCCTCCCTCCCTTCATTAACAAGGCAACTAAAGGGGGCGGGACTGAGGTGTTGGGGAGAGTAGCAGAGCCCAGGGGCTGGTAATCCCTGGAGTTGTTATGGCAACTGGGGAGCTGATGTGGTATTGTGAGGTCCCCATGGAAACCTGGGGACCCTGAAAGGAAATTCCTGGTTTCCATAGTGATAGGACAAGGGTAAGATTAAGCCCTGGGTCGAGTGTTATGGAGATCAGAAGGTCCATCCCTTTCAAGATACCCTCCCCAAGGAGAAACTGGCCCAGCCACCTGGGCACTTGGGCCACACTCCTCAGTTGTCCTTGCTTTTGGCAAAGTTCCTATCTTCCTGCTTCATTCCTTGGTCCTCCAAGTCTGACCTGCATGCAGTCCTGGTGTAGTCAGAAGCCACTTTCTACTTGGCATTGCCATCCCCCTCTTGATGCTGAGTGGGGAGACCCCTAGGCTGGAGAGAGGTCAGAGGTCATCCTGATCAGACCCTACCCTGTCCCGTATCAGTCTGCCTCTTCCAGGAGATGAGGTGGTCACTACCACTCAGGCAGCTATGACCAGGAGGAGTTGCCACTGTGGAGCTCTAATCTCTCCCTACCCTGCTCCCAGCTCTTGTCTGGGGCCCACTAAGATGCTCCTATTCCACCCGCCTGGGACAGCCACCTGGGGAGTGGCCCACGAGACCTTGGCTCTGCCAGTGAGCCAAGGTCTGTCACTCATCTGTCACTCATGGAAGTGGGTGAGGAGAAGATGAGTGTTGCCCTAGAAAGCTCATGCCCTGGGTTTGGGGGATGAGCTCCCACTGACCTAACCACGTGCTGGTGGGTGTAGTGGGAGAACCTTTACCAGTTAAGCAAAGGGGTGATTTTAAAGAGGCACCTGAAGTGCAAAGAGACTAATTAATGTTAAGTAACAAGCTACCAAGTGTGTGACCAGGTCTGGACTCTAGAGCCCATGCCCTCAAGCACGTTCAACTTGGCAACTCCAACCTCTGAAGCACCAGACAGGGTTGGATCTTGGGGAAGGTCCTGGCTCTGATGGGGAACATTTAGGCAGAGGAAACATGGACAACCAAGCAAATGCAGACCTGTGGGGGCAGGACAGTATCATCACTGGGCTGGGGTATCTAGGGAGCTGGAGAAGCAGGCCCTGCTTGGGCTAAGGTCTGGAATGCCAGGCTCATCAGGTGAGCCTTTGTCTTCTGGTTGGGGTGGGGGGACGTGGTCAAATTGGGGCTTCCAGGACCCACATTTGGGTGAGAGATGACAGGGGGTGGTTTAGGGGTAAATGGAGGGGGGATGGTGTTGGAGCAATTTTGAAGGTAGACCAGGATCAGTGGGGTCACTGAGGCAGGAGAGAGGGATCATATGGTCAGCTTGGGCTGGCTGGCTAGCAACCATGAGTGGTCCTGGCCTAGAACCAAGGTCTGGCTTTCAGCATCTTCAAAGGTGCAGCTGAGGCTGTGTAGTGGATGAGGCAGCCCCTCTGGGAACCCCAGTTACACATCTGCAGTGGGAAGAGTCCAGAAGAAATGGTCTGAGAGTCCTGGCCTGCTCTGGTGTTTCAGGGTTGACCATTTTGGTGTCCTTGCTGCAGAGATTGGAGAGGTTCACCAAAGGTAACTGACAGAGAGTCACAGTGGTGTGGGCCTGCACCTTGGTGGCCCTAGCCCCTCTCTGAGTTGCCTGGGCCTCAGATCTGTGACAAAATGCACACTGAAGGTGCCCAACCACAGGGCAGAGGGCTTCTCTGCCTAGGTTTCTTAGGGGCCTGGCTCAGTCTACTGGGGTCAGGCCCCCTTCCCTGGGGTTTATTCAGTCCTGGCCCCATGGTCAGGGGTGCACATGTGGCAGAAATTAGCCATCCATCCAAAGGCAGCTCTAGACATCCTTGGGTTGAGGTCCGTGGCCCTTGGGGAGCAACCTCAGACTGCTGGGTGCTGCCCATGGTCTGGTCCTTGCCCCTTCATCCGTCTCCAGTCTAGTCCCTGGCCTCCCCCTCTGCCCCTAGGAAAGAAAGTTGTCTTCAGGGCTCAGCTGGTTGGAGCGGGAGCTCCAGACGGGGCCAGCGTGGAGGGAGAGAAGGCAGTATGGGAGGAGCGCAGCTCCTTGCCCTGAGAGGGCTGAGAGCTTAAGGCAGGTTAGAGCTGGGCTAGGACTTATTCAGCTGGGTCCCTGGAGCAAAGAGACCAGCAGGGCCAGGTGGGGAGGCCAGGACACGGAAGTGGGTGGGGTAAGTGTATGGATGAGTCCTGCACATAGTCCCTTGGCCTGAGGCCTTGGACCCAGGTTAGGGAGCTCCTGGTACCTTGAATGAAGGGCACTATAGCAGTAGGGGTCAGAACCTGGGCCTAGATAGGTCTGCCCTGACTCCAGGCCCTACCTCTGGTGCTCGGCCAGGTCCCTCATAGCTTCTCTTGCTGGGCCCTGGGTGCCCTGGGCCCCCCACATCCCTGCGGTCTGCCGGGAGGAAGCGGCCCTCCTCCCCCACCTCCAACCGTGACTCTGCGCTTCCTGCCCCCGGCTGTGGCGGGAGGGGACGTTTCCCGTTCACGCCCAAGTTTCCCTGGCAGCACCCAGACTTGGGCTCAGCAGCTGCCCCTTTTACCCATGGAGCCAGCACTGGGGCCTGGGGTCCAGGTAACCAGTTAGGGTGGGCGGAGGCTCACAGGGTGAGGTAGGCCTTCTGGCTGTACATGTGGGGAGTGTGCGTATGCATGGGTCTGCCTGGCTGATAGTGCACATACACCCTGGGATCTGCAGTCCAGGAAGGTTTCCTGGAGGTGGTGGCTGCTGAGCTGGAAGAAGGTGGCAGGAGAGAGCCCAGCCCAAGGCTTTGGGTCAGGGTTGGCTGGTGGGTGGAAGACCTCCAGCCCTGGCATCAGTGTGGGCCATAGCCATCCCCCAGGCATGTATACACTTAAGCTCCTCCCCTGCCTATGTCAGGCCTGCCTGGGTCCTGAAAGGTTAGGGAGGTGGGAACGAGACTAGAAAGCAGATGGGGGTGCCTGGGAGAGTTGTCAATATAATACAACAATCTTCTGGTGCTGACCTTCCAACTTCCTGTCCTCCCTCTTCCCCCACCTATATCCGTTCCTGTCTTTCTCCACCCCCACTGCTCTGCCTCCACTCGCTGTCTACCCCACGTCCACCTCCATTCACTCTCCACTTCTGTCTCTATCCCTTTGTCCCACTATGGTCACTGTTCCCCTTCTATCCCCACCCCTGTTCCCCCACCCCTGCAGAAGGACCTGGGTTACCTGCAGCAGTGGCTGAAGGCCTTCGTAGGTGCCTTCGAGAAGAGCATCTCACTATCATCTCTGGAGCCACGCAGGTGAGGCTGGCTCTGTGGGGGGGGGAGGCTGAGGGGTCCTCAGCGCCCCAGTGACCCCTTCCCCTGCAGGCCGGAGGAAGCAGGTGCGGAGGTGCCGCTGCTGCCGCTGGACGCGCTGCACGTGCTGGCGGAGCAGCTGGACCAGGGGGATCTGGAGCAAACGCTGCTGCTGCTCAAGCTCTTCATCATCCTCTGCAGGTGGGTCCCTGTTGTCCTCCCCAAGGCCGGGGGACATGGAACTGTGGGCCAAGGGGCGCCAGCACATTTCTACACGTGACCTCTCCCATCGTTCCCTCCCCAGGAACCTGGAGAATGTGGAGGCAGGCTGGGGCCCGGTGCTGGTGCCCCGGGTGCTGGCACTGCTGACCCAGTTGGTGGCCAAGGTGAGGTGGGCTCTCTCTAACTGGGGGGGTGGCAGGTGATAGCCAATTCCAGCCAATTCCCTCCCACCTCTCCCCCACTACAGCTGAAAGGATCCCCAGCACTGCAGGAGTGCGAGGGCCCCAAGCTGGAGGAAGTGGCCCTGCATGCCCTCCTCCTCTGTGAGGGCCTCTTTGACCCCTACCAGACCTGGCGGCGCCAGCAGAGCGGGTGAGAGCGGCCCCCCACCGAGGACCCCAGACGGCTGGGCTGGGGAGAGGATGTGGGCGGCTGCTGTGGCAAAGGTGTGGAGGTGGGAGGGGGCTGTGTGCAGGCTGGTGAGGGCAGGATGACCAAGGAGAGCGAAGTGCCTGGCCTCACCCTGCCCCTGCCCACCCTGTCACTGCCCCCAGGGAAGTCATCAGTGCCAAGGAGAAGAGCAAATACAAGTTCCCTCCTGCTGCTTTGCCCAGCGAATTCAGAGCCTTCTTCCCAGGTCAGGCTCTGCCCCCAGACCTGCATCCCTTCCTGCAGCTTCCCATTCCTTACACAGGACTGGACCCAGGACCTGCTTAGTGTTGGTTGCACTGGGGGGTGGGGGGAAGAACCCTTCTGGGATTCAGGGGCAGAGAGGAGAGAGAGGGCATGCCTGGGCAAAATGAGTAATTTTTTTCCGGGCTGCAGTGGAGACCTGGCATCAGGCGGGTACGTTGATTTCCCTCCCCCTTCTCTCCCATCTCCTGGGTCCCCCTAACCACTTGTACCCCCCCCACACACACACACACTCTGACCTGGACCATCTTAAAACTCCCTAGTCCAATCCCTTTGTCCCTGTGGCCTCCACCTTGTTCCCACCCCTCATCAAGACAGTGTCTACACTGGGTATTATCTCCACTTCCTACTACCTCATTCCTGGAGGAGTTGACCCCCAGGATGTTTCCTGCCACCTGTTCTCCCTGGGGGTCCTCTTCTCCTGGGTCCCCTCTTCTGTTATTGGAGGGAGACTGGCCAGTACTTTAGGTGGGTTCTGGGTGGGATACTGCTGGATGGGGGCAGCTGGGCTTGGGAGGCTGTTGGTCTATTGGGATAAAAAGTATCTTGTCTCTGGATGTCCCATGGAGCTGCTGGCCTGGGTCTGGAGCAGGGACAACAGCTTCAGGAGGGAAAACATCCCTGGGGAGCCCCCTGCCTCCATTGTCCCACTGCCTGAGTACTGTCCTCAAAAGAAACTGGGTTTTGTTCCTGCTGCTATAAACGCCCCAGCAGTGGCCTGACACCCTCAGGACTAAATCCTGCTCCTCCCCACAGCCTTTCTTCCCAGCCCCACTTGCTCCCTGCACCTCAGCCATGGTCCTATCATTCCTAGAATGCAACTAGGCAACCCACCTCCGGCTCTTTGCCCACTGTTTCTTCTCCCTTTGCAGGCCCACTGCACTCCCAGGCCTCACCTCTAGAGTCCTGCGCCCATTAGGCCTCGCACCCTATCCCACCTGAAGCAAGCCAGCCCTGCTTCTACCCCTCCACCCCCATAGCACCCATGTGACCCAGGGCTGGTCCTTCCTGCTCTCTAAGTTTCAGTCTGTGGCCTGGCATCCTGTCCACCCAACATATGACGCTGTGAAAGCCCCTAAAAGTCCCCGGTGGGGGCATGGGTGGGGGTGGGGGGCATCTGTGTGCTAGACACAGGCAGAGTCCCCAGAGCAGGTCACTTGGGGAAGCTCCAACCGTCACAGGGCGGAGGGGCCAGGATATTTGCATCTGAAAACCTAAGGCCTGGGTTTCCATGGGGAAGCTGGGTGGGGGGGATGTACTCACCACAGGGTCTCCACTTTGGGGCTTAAGGATCTAAGGAGCTGGCTAGGCTCTCAGGGCAAGGCCATGTTCCTTTCTAAGCTCCCCAAAAGAAGGACTGTGTTCCCCTGAGACACCCTAGTGGAGAACCATGACTTTTTCTGACCTCAGCTCAGAACCAGGTCTCCTCCCTCAGCCCCCACCCCCACCCCAGGGCTCCCACCTCTTGTGTAGACACAGATCCACATCCGTGCAAACTTGGTGACATTGTCCTTCCCTGCCCACTCCACCTTGCCCAGAGAGCCTGCAGGATGCAGATCGGCTGCCTCCCATGCTGTTGCTGCGTCTCATCCACCTCTTTGGCGCTGTCCTTGCAGGAGGGAAGGTAGGCTAGGAGGAGCCTGCGGGCCAGAGGGTAGCTGTCTCAGGGTCTCCGCTGGATGAGCCCCCTCACCCATTGCCCACCTCTGTCCATACCTGCAGGAGAATGGGCAGGTGGCCGTGAGTGCTGGCTCTGTGCAGGGCCTGCTGGGAGTGGTGCAGGGCTGCGGCCGTGGGCCAGCCCAGGACTCCCACCTAGTGTCGCTGGCTCTTGAGGCACTGGTGGGCGCAGTACATGTCCTGCATGCCAGCCGCACACCGCATCGAGGTCCAGAGCTCCACGCCCTACTTGAGGGCTACTTCCGAGTCCTTAATGCTGACTGGCCGGCTGAACCAAGCCCAGGCCCTGAAGAGGCCCTTGTCACCCTACGAGTCAGCATGCTTGGTGGGTATGGACTCCCAGGCTCTTGGGGAGGTGGCACTAGGAGGTGAGGGCCCAAGTGACGATGGGAAGGCTGGACTGGGCAGTAGAGGGAAGGTTTAAGGCTGACTGTAGGTATTGCTGGGAGGGGATTGGGCAGGGCTGACCCTTGACCCCTCCACAGATGCCATCCCCATGATGCTGGCCTGTGAGGACCGACCTGTGCTCCAGGCCACCTTCCTCAGCAACAATTGCTTTGAACACCTGATTCGCCTCATCCAGAATAGCAAGGTGGGCGGAGCCCAGGCAGGGTGGAGGGCCTGGAAACCAGAGGCTGGGGGAGCCATGTGTGGGTGCTGAGATGCTGCTGAGCAGACTTGGGTGGCACCAGGCTGGAGGAGAGTGGCTGGTGGGATGGCCTCCAGTGCAGTGGGAGGGCCTGAGACTGAGGATGGCTCTGTACCCACAGAAGGGCAGTGTTGTGGAAGGACAGGAGCACCCCTAGCCCCTTGTTTCCCCTTTCCCCAGCTCCAGGTCCAGGGGTAGGAGAACGGCTCAGCAGTTTGGATGCAGTGCCCACTCCTGCCCATTTAACTACCCGACTCTGTCCCTCTGAGCAGGGCATGGGTGGCTCATTTCCCTCCCCTTCTCTAGGACCTGGTGGGGCACTCAGCCTGGGGCTCCGGGTGCATCCACCCCTTTGGGCAAGTCCTGGCAGCTACTGCAGGCCCTGCTCTAACCCTGCCCCTCCCTCATCTTCCTTCTCTCTCCTCTGCCTCCTCCACCCTGTGTCCTCCCCCTTCCCCACAGCTATATCTGCAGACCCGGGCGCCCCCTGAGGGGGACAGTGACCTAGCTACCTGGTTACTGACCGAGCCCGATGTCCAGAAGGTACCACCTTGGGGCTGACCAGCTCAGGCACTCACTTCCCTGGGCACCCACCCCCAGGCTCCCTCTTTGAGCCCTTCCTGCACTATGCAGGGGGGATGAGCAGATATGTGTAAGGCCCTGCGTGGCCTAGCAATGGGGCTGGGTGTCCCATTGTCCCATGCAGTCTCACCTACTTTCCACATCTCTATCTAAGGGAACTGGGCAGGAGTGATCTGTGGTGTCCTGCCTAGTATTGCTATTGGGAGCTGGGAATTGGCTGTGCCACACTAGAGGGAACCTTCGAAACTCAACCACCTGCACCCATTTCACAGAAGGGAAACAGCCCAGATAGTTATGCAGGGATTCGGCTATAGTCATTCCCAGAAAAGGAGGTCCCCCACATGGGGTCACTTCTTTCTATGGATCCTTGTGCCTGCTCTGTGAAGGCCCCTGGGAGTCGCCGCCCATCCCCTCCTGAGGTGCTCTCTGCCTCACCTTGCATGGGCGCTGGGATGCTGCAGAATATCAGGGGCCCCGAGTGGGGCACCTGGCCTCTGGTGGCTCGATGCTTGGGAGTAACCTCCAGAGCCCCGCCCTGGCTTTGTCCTTCTGGGCAGCCCCCCGTGCCTGTTGCACTGGGCTGTTTTCTGAGAGCCTGCATGTCTGTTCATCTACGAGGCAGGTGAGGCAGGCGAGACCCCTGGTCTGTAGATGAGGAAACAGGCCTGGAGAGGGTAAGAAGGTGGCCTGAGGTCACTTGGAGAGTCAGGCAGAGCTGGGGCCAAGGGCCTTATGGAGCCAAAACAAAGCCTAACACCTGCTGACAAACTTTCCAAGTCCACCTGAACCCTCACCCCCCTCAGGGTAGGGCAGGGTGAGTGAGAGGCATGCCTCTGGCTGTCTTGGGTTCAGCCTGGGTGAGCCTCAGTGTCCCCACTTTGATTTAGTGGGCAAGGGGCAGGGTAGGACTCAATGGTCTCGAAGGTTCTTCTGGTTTTAACATTCTGTGATTGACTACCCTTTCTATTACCCCAACCCCCTGTCAATCATAATGGGTAATGGGGCACTTGCTGGCCTACCTGCACATGTGTGTCTAGCTTGGGTGGGGATGGGTGGACTGGGGCCCATAAGCCTACCAGACAGAGAGGTATGGCCAGGGGTATGGCCAGAGGGTCCACTGTTGATCTGTCCCAATGAGGCCCTTCCCAGCCTTGGTTCCTTCCCTGGCCTCTTTGTCAGAGTGGCTCTTGCCAATCTGGTCAGAGAGGGCCCTCGGGTCAGCAGTTCAGGCAAGGAGTAGAGGGCCTGAGCTCCCAGGCCCCCAGCCAGCTCAGCCACCTGCCTTGGGGCACCTGCTCCTGGCCCTACACCCCCTTCACTGCAGGGTGCTGCCATCTGCGATGCTCTGGCTCCTGCCTCTCCTGACTGCCCCTCCCCACCCTAAGGTACTAGACCAGGACACAGATGCCATTGCAGTCCACGTAGTCAAAGTGCTGACCTGCATCATGAGCGGCTCCCCGTCAGCCAAGGTGAGGACACTACCTCTGCCTGCAGTAGAGGTGTGGGCTCGGAGCTATAGTGACCCCATGGCCCCAGAACTGGCTTGGTTGGTGGCTATTAGAGCAGGTGAGCTGGAGAGGTTCAGCTCAGGCCACTGGGTGGGCATGGTCATCAGTCAGTCCTGGAACTGGATCTCCTGGGTCAGGGCTGGATGGGAGAAGGACACTTGTGGGCCTTCTGAGGTGGACACGGCGCCTTGCCCCTGCCAGCATAGTGACCCGGAGGCAGAACCAGGCGAGGGGAGCCCTGGAAGCTGCTGCCTTCTCCAGGGTTTCTGTGTGGTGTGAGCTGGCCCTGGGTCCACTTCCATGTTCACTTCCTCGCCTGCACAGGAGGTGTTTAAGGAGCGCATCGGCTACCCTCACCTGCATGAGGTTCTGCAGAGCCATGGTCCCCCCACCCACCGACTGCTGCAAGAGCTGCTCAACATGGTGAGGGCGGCAGGGGCAGCTAGGACTGAGTCAGGGCTACCATGTAAGGCCAGCTCTCCACCTTGGGGGTCTGTGTTGACTATGGCCAATACATCCTATGACCTGTGGCTGACCGCATGTGTCAGCATCCCTGGGGTGAGGATGCTGGGCTGCATGGGGCCAGGAAGTTCCTGCATGTTAGCAAGTTCCAGGATTACCCTGGGGACACGCAGTTGGGGTTTAGGCCAACCCAGACCAAAAGCCAAGATTCGGGGGTTAATGGGGCTGAAGGACTGTCATTAGTGCTGATGGTCATCCATGTGCCTCTGACTCTCCTGAGCCTCAGACACAACCTATGAGCAGAATGGGGGGGCACATGTTGCTTTCCCATTATTTTAAGCAAGTAAACAGAGAGGAAGCCCCATTGTTGGCAGCTTACCTGCTCCATGCCAGTTGCCCAGGAACTCTGACTCTCTCTCCACCCGCAGGCTGTGGAGGATGACCACAGCATTTGCCCACCACCGCCAATCTGCAACGAGCAGCCGGTGCTGGTGCTGATGCAGTGGCTGCCGGTGCTGCCCACGGCTGAGCTGCGGCTCTTCCTTGCACAACGCCTGCGGAGGCTCTGTGACAGCTGCCCCGCCAGCCGCGCCACATGCGTGCAGGCCGGTCTGGTGGGCTGCCTGCTGGAGACGCTCAGCATGGGGGTAGCCCTGGGGACCCGCTGCCAGGAGCAGCTGCTGGCACTGCTGCAAGCATTGGGCCGCGTGTCACTAAGGCCCTTGGAGCTGCGTCGCCTGCTTCACCCCCCGCCAGGGCTGGACTCGGAGCCGGGAGGCGCCGAGGCAGGGGGTGCCCGACACGCAGGAGCTGTCATCCGCGCGTTGTCAGGCATGGCCCGGCACCGGGGCCCTGCGCGAGCCCTGCACTACTTCGACCTCACGCCCAGCATGGCGGGCATTATGGTACCTCCCGTGCAGCGATGGCCAGGAGTTGGCTTCACCTTCCACGCCTGGCTCTGTCTGCGCCCCACGGCCGCAGCCCCCGCCCTGGCCCCCGCCCGGCCACTGCAGCGGAAGCAGCTGTACAGGTGGGTGACGGCCGGGTAAGGTCGCAGCGCAGGGACCGACGGGCCAGCCAGCAGGCGTAACCGGCTCGGCCTGTCCCCAGCTTCTTCACCAGCAGTGGCTCGGGGTTTGAGGCCTTCTTCACGGCGGCTGGGACCCTGGTGGTGGCCGTGTGCACCCGGAAGGAGTACTTGACCGTGAGCTTGCCTGAAGTGTCCTTTGCCGACTCTGCCTGGGTGAGCCCCCGTCCTCGTGGCCCAGGTGGGTGAAAGGGGCACCAGGCACCAACCAGCGGTCTGATGTGTGGCTTCTGTTCTAGCACTGTGTGGCCATCGTCCATGTGCCTGGGCGGCTCTTCAGCCAGAACCTGGTGCATGTCTACAAAGATGGCCATCTGGTCAAAACAGCACCCCTCCGCTGCCCCTCCCTCAGTGAGGTGCGCTAGGCAGGGCTTGGGGAGGCTTTGGGTAGCTGGGGGGGGGG